GACTTCAACGCCAGGCCGGCAACAGGACTCCTCTTTTGGCCTGGATTGATGTAGATGTTCTTCTGATTTGCTGCTTTGATTTTATCTGAATTGTTTAAACGTTGGCTTTGCTTGTTGTCTCGCTGCTTGACTCCAGACAGAGCGAGGAGGAGCGGGCTCGCGTGCACCATGGAGCAGTTAACTGAACGTGACGGTTCGGCTGCTGCTTAGTTTTTACGTGGCTTTTAGGCAAGGCAAGTTTATTTGTATAGCACAATTCATACACAAGGCAACTCAAAGTGCTGAACAAAACAAGAAAGCATTAAAATCATAAATAATCACAGAACATTAAAAGGAAAGATAAAACATAAAATCCCTCAGTTGTATGCACAGCTAAACAGAACCGTCTTTAACCTGGTTTTAAACATTGTCAGAGAGGAGGCCTGTCTCACATCTTCAGGAAGATTGTTCCAGATTTTAGCAGCATGAATCTGAAAAGCAGCCTCCCTTTTATGCTGCATTACAGTGCACTTTGTTGGCACATATTATACAAATAAATAAACAAAAGTGAACAAAATACACATTCTATTTTTATTTTACTGTAAATTATGAATGTTGTTCTAACTTTAGTTTTACTCAGTCCCGTTACAGTCCCATTTCAGATCGTTAGACAGAGTTAAACCCAGAAACTTGCACTCCTGATGTTACAGTATCAGCAGGCATATGAAAACCAGATAACATTTAGAAGGATAACCACTCCTGATTCTGACATGTATGCATCTAATGTGGTTGGACCCTCCATTTTATCAATCCTTAATCAGTCCCTGGATCAAGGTCTTGTCCCATCCAGTTTTAAACATGCTGTGGTCCAACCACTTTTAAAGAAGCCTAATTTAAGCACTACAGATTTTAACAATTTTAGACCCATTTCTAAACTCCCGTTTTTATCTAAGGTTTTAGAGAAAATTGTTTCTATTCAGATTTTAGATTTTATTAACAATAACCACATCTTTGAGAAATTCCAATCCGGTTTTAAAGCACAACACAGTACTGAGACAGCTCTCCTTAGAGTTTTAAATGACCTTCTTTTAACCACGGACAGCGGAGAGTGCTCTATTTTAATTCTTTTAGATTTAACCTCTGCCTTCGACACTATAGACCACGATATTTTATTGGATCGCCTCAAAACGTGGGTTGGCATCAGAGATACTGCACTTGGTTGGTTTCATTCTTATCTTTTAGAAAGAACCTTTGCGGTCACCATGGGTGATTTTACCTCCTCAACAGCCCCCATCACCTGTGGTGTGCCGCAAGGTTCTATTTTAGGCCCCATTTTATTCTCTATTTATATGCTCCCCCTAGGACACGTTATGGCCCGTCATAACGTGTCCTTCCACTGCTATGCGGACGACACACAGATCTACCTCCCGCTGAGACCAAACGACCCTGGAAGTCTGGCTGCTGTGGTCGACTGTTTTAATGATGTGAACGTTGGATGGCCCATAACTTCCTTCAACTCAACACCTCCAAATCAGAAGTCCTCCTCATCAACCCGCCTCCATCCATATCCCACATCCAAACTCACCTCGGCCCCCTGTCCTCAAACATCACTCCCTCCGCCCGTAACCTCGGTGTCATTTTTGATTCTCACCTCACCTTCCGCTCCCACATCAATAAAACCACCCAAACCTGCTTCTATCACCTCCGCACCATCTCTAAGATTAAAAACATTCTCACTCCTCCCGATCTCCATAAAGTCGTCAACGCCCTCATCTTCTCCCGCCTCGATTACTGTAACTCTCCGGTCTTGATGCTAAATCCCTCTCCCGCCTCCAACTGGTTCAGAACGCAGCAGCCAGACTTCTCACTGGTTTTAACAGAAGGGAGCACATCACCCCTGTTTTAGCGTCCCTCCACTGGCTCCCTGTGCGATTTAGAATTGATTTTAAGATTTTACTGATTACTTTTAAAGCTCGTTTAGGTCTGGCACCAAGCTATATTTATGAACTTTTAACCCCCTACGAGCCCCCCCGCAGCCTTAGATCCTCGGGCAGGTCCTTGCTGACCATTCCAAGGTCGAGGCTCCGGACGAAAGGTGATCGAGCCTTTTCTGTCCGGGCTCCTCGGCTTTGGAACGACCTGCCCGAGGAGATAAGGCTAGCACCATCAGTATCCTCTTTTAAATCTCTTCTTAAAACCCACTTTTATAAAACAGCTTTTAATTGTCAGCTTTAAACTTATAATGTTGTATTTTACTGTCTGTCCTGTCTGTTTTGTGGTCTTGTGTTTCCTCTGTTTGTCTTGTCTTCTTGCATTCATTCTTATTGTTTTAACTTTGTATTATGACTGATGTATTGTTTATTATGCTGTGCAGCACTTTGTAAACATTGTTTTTGAAAAGTGCTTTATAAATAAAGATTTATTATTATTATTATTATTATCTATGACACGGTAAAGCTTTGACCGACTGCAGGATAAACTCATATTTATCGTGTTTTGAAATTAGCCTCTTTAAAAAAACCTCTTCCATCACAGAGATCTCCTGGATCCTGGACACTGCTCCTGTGTTCCTGAATTGTCCCTGACCCTGGCCTCTTGTCTGCTGAATGCTAATGAGCAAGATCAGCTTCCCGGTGGCGTGCTAGCTCTACGGCGGCCTCTGAGGGCCAAAGCTCACATCATGTATTCACTCATGAGGATGTCGACGTGCGTTTAAACGTTAACCTCTGACCTCCGATGCTTCTTCTTCTGTCCATCCACAGGCGCTGGGTGGAAAAGGACATTTGGAGGTCTGTTCTGCTTCATGAACATTAGAACTCCCACAGCAGTCAATTTGACGGCTTTTAGTTTTGGACATTAATCAGCTCAGCTACATTTTTGGTCTTCATAATATTTTGACATTTTCTGAGTGGAGTTTGCATGTTCTCCTGCGTAGGTTTCCTCCGGGTACTCCGGTTTCCCCTACCACTAAAAATATGTACAATAGGACTGTGCATGCGCCTCCTGTTCGGCGACCCCGCTCCCAGTGGAGTGAGAGACTAATGCCCAAAACAATAATATAACAATTGTAAACCGCTTTGTGACCCTTGTCTGTGAAAGGCGGTATATAAATAAACATTACTTACTTACTATTTTCAGGTTTCTACATGTTGTTTATTTCTATTTAATTGTCTTTGTTAATTTATCTTTTATTTTTAGGATTGTGAGGAGTTCTACCTTTAATTCCCACAGCTGTCATTGTGACGGCTCCATTCATTTCAATGTAAAAATCCAATGTAACTATTTTTGGTCTGGTCCTGGACTGATTCAGGTGCAGATGCATATCACGCCATGAAACGGGCACTGAGACAGCGGGTGAATAGCAATGAACAGACTACAGCTGAAGTCCAAAAGAAGACGGATAAAGGACATTTGATTAAAAACAATAGTCTACAACAGTCCTGGATCTACAGCACAAGATACACTCAATTATACAATCTATAATGATAAAAACAGACAAAATACATGAACATAGTTTTGCTCTCTGGTCTCTCTCTGGTGTCTCTCTGGTCTTTCTATGGTCTCTCTCTGGTCTCTCTCTGGTCTCTCTCTGGTCTTTTGCTGATCTCTAGTCTCTCTCTGGTCTTTCTCTGGTCTCTCTCTGGTCTTTCTCTGGTCTCTCTCCTGTCTATGTCTGGTCTCCCTTATCTCTCCCCTGGTCTCTCTCTGGTCTCTCTTATCTCTATCTGGTTTATTGCTGATCTTTGTCTGGTCTTTCGCTGGTCTCTCTTGATAAAAACATTTAAAAAGTCAAATGTTGAGGACTAGCTCTCTGTATCTGAACAATGAGTTTGGATGCAGAGAAACAGGCATTGATGTGCCTGATGGATAGTGGAGCTAATGTCATTGCAATTTTCTCCCTGTATTGACTTCCTCTGCATAAAATCTTGTGAATAAACTGCATGGCTACGATCGATGTGTTTAAACGCACACATTTCCTGCTCTATAAAACTACGAGCATGTGTCGGAGAGGCACTTTCACTTTCTCATCCACAGAAGCATACAATAATTTAATGATAAGCAACGACAGAATCAATAGAACCTCATCTCAAAGTCTGACTTTTAGTATCAACAGGGACTGAGTAAATGGTCTTTTCTATCGGACGGGAACGTGAGAGGTTTGTAGTTGAATGCAGACAAAGTGGGAACGCTGGTTGTCGGTCCTTATGACTTCATTCTTAGGACAAGGTTTTACTCTCTCAGGACGCTCTCTGGTCTCTCTCTCTGGTCTCTCTCTCTAGTCTCTCTCTCTGGTCTCTCTCTCTGGTCTCTCTCTAGTCTCTCTCTCTGGTCTCTCTCTGGTCTCTCTCTCTGGTCTCTCTCTCTGGTCTCTCTCTCTAGTCTCTCTCTCTGGTCTCTCTCTCTGGTCTCTCTCTCTGGTCTCTCTCTCTGGTCTCTCTCTCTGGTCTCTCTCTCTGGTCTCTCTCTCTAGTCTCTCTCAAGTCTCTCTCTGGTGTCTCTCTCTGGTCTCTCTCTCGAGTCTCTCTCTGGTCTCTCTCTCTAGTCTCTCTCTCTGGTCTCTCTCTCTGGTCTCTCTCTCTGGTCTCTCTCTCTGGTCTCTCTCGAGTCTCTCTCGAGTCTCTCTCTGGTCTCTCTCGCTAGTCTCTCTTTCTAGTCTCTCTCTGGTCTTTCTCTCACAGAACCCCAAAACGCTACACAAAGTTTGAGAAGTGATTGGACATAGATTATCCAGTGGAAACTTTCAAATCCTTTTTTTCTCCCTCGTTCTAAACCGTTATCACTTTTTCTGTCATCGACAATAACACCTTTCACTGAACTTATCCACACTCTGCCCCCTGCTTGCCCTTATGGATAATGCCCCATAATGCATTTCATGTCATAAAAAAAACCTCCGCTCCACTTTCCCGTCCCACAAATGCATCTGAATGAGGAAATAACCACGGCAACAATGGCTTTAGAAGTGCTTTGTCGCCACAGCCCTCTGCGAAGATTGCTCTGGTCTTAGTTGTGGTTCGGGGAAAATGGTTTCGTTGGCTCGGCTTCCAGCTGGCAGCGCTGCAGAGATGCGATTCTCCAAACGCCCGGTCGGTAAGCGTTATCTGCCGCTGATAAGCTCAAAGCACTTTTCGGGGGGAGCGAGATCAGGGGCAGAACTTCTGGCTCCTGATGAATGGATTTACTCGAACGACTTCAAAAGCAAAAATTCTTCCGCTGTGGTCTGGGAATTCAAGATGGCCGCCAGCGTGAGTGGAGGGGATATGAGCGGGATCGGAAAGTGAGATGCATCAGAAAATTAGGGTTTATATATCTGCAAAAATAATTTGAATATTGTCAAAATGTGCAATACAGATTCACATGTCTGATTACATGCTCACATATATACATAACTACATATGTCTGCACTAGAATAACCAGGATTTATACCAGGATATCTAACCCTTTATGGAAATAATCGGTAATTTATCAAATAGATCCAAGGTAGCGCTAAAATACAAAAATCCAGAAGCGAAAACAAGCAAAGAACAAACATAGTATAGACCAGTGTCTCCCAAAGTGGGGTCCGCGGCCCCCTGGTGGGCCGCGAGGGTACTGCAGGGGGGCCGCGGGAGGTCATTAAAAAAATATATATATATATATATAATTATTTAATATTAAATTTATAATGTTTTGTTTGTAATATTAAAATATTTGTGTTCATTATTTGACTTGAATAATCCACTGTAATCATTTTTGTATTACAATGTTTGTAGCAGAGGCTATTTCCCCAAAATAAAATAACCAGAAGAGCTTATTCTTAATGTTGTCTTCTTGGTTATTATTTTGGGGGGCCACGCAGACCCGTCAGATTTTTAAGGGGGCCTCGGTGTTACTGAGTTTGGGAATGGCTGGTATAGACAATGGACAGACAATAACACAGGGAATACATACACACAGGGACGAGTGTGGATAAGCACAGGGAATAAATACACACAGGGACAAGTGTGGATAAGCACAGGGAATAAATACACACAGGGACGAGTGTGGATTAGAGTTTCGCTTTTCAGCCCGAGCCCGAGCAGGCCCGAGGCCCGACCTGAGTTTGGGCCGGGCTCGGGCCTCATTTGGCGCTCAGCTGTCGGGTTCGTGCCGGGCTCGGGCTTCTTTTTTTAAATGTTTCTTTTTTATTATTATTATAATTATTTTTAAATGATTTGCATATATATATATATATTAATAACAATATCCGTTGATTGACAACAAGTTATTAAAAAAAGTTAATATATTAATGACACCGTAACCAGCGTGTCCTACAGCAGCAGCAGGCCGTGAACGCATCATCCCTGTGTCTCCTGCTGCTGTGGTCAACAGCGAACAGGAACAATAGTAGAAATGGATCAAGTGGAGACAAAACAAATTCAAAAGTGGAGACTATACTTGCAATTGGAAGGTGAGTGCGTACAACGGGAAATCAGATGTGTCGGGTTCTGTCGGGCTCGGGCCTGTTATACAGCGCTCATTGGTCGGGCTTATACGGGCTCGGGCTTAACATTAGCGGGCTCGGGCCGGGTCGGGCTTCATTTTTCAGGCCCGAACGAAAGGGAACGAAAGGGAATAAATACACACAGGGACGAGTGTGGATAAGCACAGGGAATAAATACACACAGGGACGAGTAGTGTTGGGCACGTTACTTTGAAAAATGAATGTTATAGTTACTTCTCCCAAAAACTAGCAGAGATACCGACTGAGTTACTCCACTATAAAAGAAAGTAGTTACCAGTAAAAGAACGATTGCGTTACTTTTTTGTTTTGTTCTGGAACATAATGTGCACATTTTTACCTTTAACCTCTGTGAGTTTGAAATAATGCTGATATTTCCATCTGGAAAAGGCTGTTTTGCTGCTGAAGTCCTCCTCACTCTCCATCTCTCTCTGTGCTGTAAGCACTAAACACCAACTCACAGGAGAGGAGCACAGATCCAAGCATTTCACATGAGCAGATAACCTCTATGCAAGAAATGGCTATAATTTGACAAGTTTTGAGCGTTGTATGGTGTATCACCCAAATTAGTATCACACAGGTGCATGGGATCGGCTGTGAAAAATTAAGAAAAGCTATTTATGGCACCTTTAAGTTTCCACCAACCCTTGTTTCGGTTGAGTTCCCTCCGCACAAACATGCCAAGAGACAGAAACTTTTCCATGCATTCTTTGTTTTGCCCTAAATCACAACAGCAGTTATCTGGAGGACTTTACAAAGCTGTTGATTCACCGACACAGATCAGAGAATCAAACGGTTAACAAAACACAGCCATTGGTCCACAAGGGGCAGAGACCAATGTCCTTAAATGTTGACAAACGTCTAGTCCTGGAACATCGCTACTGTCCTTGGACCGTCCTGGAACAACTCTAAAAGCCTTGTGGGAGAAAAGGATTTGATAATTAGTTTAGGGATATTCTTCAATGAAATGAAATGACAACAAAATTAGGTTTTATCTGACTGCTCTGGGAGGGAACAGTCGGAGCAGAGAGAGGACAATTCACCAATGGGACAAATGTTTTAATATTTGTTTTGTTTTCTCATTCCATGGGAGACATTTCTTGTATCCTTTTGCTTTGTCCCATTGGCAAATCTTTTTATAATGCAGCTCAAATTAAGATACATGTATTTTAGCATTGTTTTACTTTTCATCACTTTTTGCAGTGTACATAAGAAAAGTCTTTTCTCTGAGCCGCGGGAAGCAGAGACCTGAGACCAGAACTAACGTGTTGGCACTTCCTGGTTCTCGTCAGGACTGGAGCTGAAGCATCACAGCAACACACAAAAATCTGCTTTGCACACTAAGTTTTGGACTCTGGTAATGTTTTTTGATGGTACACTTCACCTCATTCTGTTTTCATGTTGTTGGTTGTCGCAGCGGTAAGACTATCTCCCCACAGAGAAAGTCAAAGCAGGACACTGTTCAGAGCTGAGGAGTCGGAGACGGATGGACAGACAGGTGTGAAGGACAAGACAGCGTTACCACGGCAACACGCCATCAGCCCGACAGCAACCCCATCGTCCCCCAGGGAATAATTAAGGACAGAGACACATGGGACAGAGAGAGAGAAAGAACAGAGAGATGGAGAGAGAGAGCACACAGAGTAGCTAACTGGAGCTAGGGTTACCAACTTTAGAACAGAAAAATAAGGGACACTATTTGGGTGGAATATTTTTTAGTTGTCCTAATTTCAATCTATACAGGAGTCATGGAATTTAATATTCACAATTATTGACTACAAATGAATAAACAAATCTGTAGTAAAAACTGAAATTAACTAAACAGGTGCAACTCTTTGGCTGGTTAAGGACTTAATGCATGCTTATTATCCATTACAAATATAAAAAGTATTGATCATATCTGGAGATTTGGTGACCTACTTTTCAAAAAAAGCTATTGAAGGTTAATATTCGCATTTGAAAATAAAACGTTGCTTTCATGAGCTATTGGATCGCGGAAGTTTGGAGCTGGGAATGTGACGCTAACTTTGCCAAACTTCTGCCGTGATGATGCTGCGGGCGCGGGTCAAGATGGCGCTTGTCAACACCACACTGGCGCATGGAAGCCTTTGACACTGATTGGCCGAAAGGTAGACGCTCAAACTGTAATTACTGTGTGTGATATGCAGTAAGAGAGTGATGCATTTAAGGCGACGCTGATAATGCAGGATAAAAGCCGTCTCTTATCGATTCAATACAGGACTCCCAAAGTTTTTCTAAAGTACAGGACAATTCCGTATTTTAAGAGACTGTTGGCAACCCTAGCTGGAGCCTTTTTTCTTTTATGGGCCTTCATGAAGTACAATAAATGTTTGAGTATTTTAGGTGTTTCCTTGGTCTCTTTCTCTCCGACTTCTCTTGTCTATTGTCTCTCTCTGGTCACTCTCAAGTCTCTCTCTGGTATCTCTCTGGTCTCTCTCTGGTATCTCTCTGGTATCTCTCTGGTATCTCTCTGGTCTCTGTCTGGTCTCTCTCTAGTCTCTCTCTGGTCTCTTTCTATTCTTTCTCTGGTCTCCCTCTCGGCTCTCTCTGGCTTTCCTATGGTCTCTCTCTGGTCTCTTTCTGGCATCTCTCTGGTCTCCCTCTCGGCTCTCTCTGGCCTTCCTATGGTCTCTCTCTGGTCTCTCCCTGACACTGATTCTTTGTGGACAGGTCTTTCTCCTGGTAAATCTGTATTCTGGTTTATGTTGGGAGCAAACAGAGGAAATGTAATTGTCATTGAGTCGTGGTGAGAAGCCATCATCTGCATCATCTGCATCATCTGTCCGAGTCGATACAGAAGCTTATACCACACTCACTAACCATGGGCTTCGAATTAGGCTTTGATTAGCTTTTCAAAACAATGTGGTGAATGACAGCGCTAGTTTCTAGGGTATTGTCTTGGATCTAGTTTGTGTCGGCTTGAGTCTCTGATCTGAGTCATTTAGGGCCGTACACAAACACTGTGAAGTTAATTCTTAGATCAGACATGTGAAACTCAGGCACGCAGGCTGGATTTGACCTGAGACCATTTTTTGTCCTGGATCTACAGCCTCAGTCCTGGATCGACAGTCTCAGTCCTGGTTCTACAGCCTCAGTCCTGGATCGACAGTCTCAGTCCTGGTTCTACAGCCTCAGTCCTGGATCTACAGCCTCAGTCCTGGTTCTACAGCCTCAGTCCTGGATCTACAGCCTCAGTCCTGGATCTACAGCCTCAGTCCTGGATCTACAGCCTCAGTCCTGGTTCTACAGCCTCAGTCCTGGATCTACAGCCTCAGTCCGGTGTTAACCATAAGCAGACGTCAGAAGAGACCCTTGTTTTTTCTACTGTCTCCTGTTTAGAGAAAACACACACAGAGGGTGACAGTCCTCATGAATATTCATCTAATCACTCAGCCCTCAGCATCTGTCCTCGTCACACTGACACCGGGACAGAAACACCCCCCACACACTTCTGGACATTCTGGTCTTTGTTCAGCTGTTAAAGGATGTCGCCCCGTCTCAAACCCTGTATGCTGATGCATTCTTTTAAGTCATGCCCAGAGATGTCTTAAAGCTGGGGAATCTATATTTCAAACTACAACAAATTAACTGTAATAAAATGCATGCCAACAAGTAACTGTTTGTGTCACTGTCACTGTTTCCCTCTGAGTAGCCTCTGGTCTCTCTCTTCTCCGGTCTCTCTCCGGTCTCTCTCTGGCCTTGCTCTACTCTATCTCTGGTCTTTCTATAGTAGGGGTGCCCAAACGTTTTGCTTCTAAGGGCCTAAGTGAAAATGTACCAGTAGGCCTATGCGTAATGTTATGCTTTTAATTATTGTTGATTAATTCAATTAATCAATTATTGTCTATCAGTGCATATCACAAGCTGAATGAAAACAAAACAACACTGCCTTAGTTAGAAGTAAAACAAACAACAAGTGCAGCCACCAAATAGATTTTTAGAATGATTGATGTTTTGTTTGTGTGGATGGATATGTTCATGCTGATACTGGACACCTGAATTTCTCAATCAAGGATCAATAAAGTATCTATCTATCTATACAAGTGGTCAAAATGAGCTCCCTTAGAGATAGGGTGAGAAGCTCACTCACACCGGAAGAACTCGGAGTAGAGCCGCTGCTTCTCCACGTCGAGAGGAACCAGTTGAGGTGGCTCGGGCATCTGTTCCGGATGCCTCCTGGAGGTGTTCCGGGCACGTCCCACTGGGAGGAGGCCCCGTGGAGAACCCAGGACATGCTGGAGGGACTATGTCTCTCTCTGGCCTGGGAACGCCTCGGGGTCCCCCCGTATGAGCTGGAGGAAGTGTGTGTGGATAGTGAAGTCTGGGCGTCTTTGCTTAGACTGCTGCCCTCGTGACTCGGTTAACGGATAAAGTGAAAGAAAATGGATGGATTAATCACAATGAAAGTCAATCAACTCCATTTGAAGGAGGTCTGGGACAGAATCAGGGCTATTATTGAAGGAATCAGAGAATAGTTCCATAACTCCAGCACTTTCCAGTTTCCATGCACATCAAAACTCCCTGTTTAGTCCTACATGTTCAGACAGCCTCTCCTCTACCAGGTTTACTCTTTGACTAGGGAAGTGAGCCACGTTTCCTGGGAACAAATCAACAGCCTCAGTTTTGTTTTTATCCCCTAAAATTGATACAATCTCGTTCACCATAACCAAGAGAATAATTCATGTAAAAATGTGCGTATGCTAATCATGTCACGCAGTGAGTGCATGGACAGTGGTGCACAAACAGGAGCTGAGTGTACTCACAGTAATTTAAGTATTTACAACAGACTTATAAAGAAAGCATTAAAAGGCCCCGGCTTCATTTGAAATGCCTTCACGTGGTCAAACAGCGCTGTGATGATCTGTTTCTTTCCTTAAAGCTGAACATTTGGTGAGTCGAGCAGGTCCGTGATCTCCACCATGAAAGCTTCATTACAAAACCATCTGTCATCTGTAGGGACTTGGATATCCCTAACCTTGGTTTTCAGAAACTCTGCGATGGCATGGTGCAGCTAAAAAAAATCTTTTTAGCACTTTCCCTTTGCTGAGCCAGCAAACTTCTTGGTGGTACAGGACATTGCTGTATTGTGCATCGACTTCTTCCAAAAGGTCTCTAAATTGGCGGTGTGAAAGAGCCTTGTATCGTATGGAGTTTATGATTTTAATGATGTTGCGTTCCACGTCTCCAAGTCCAATGGATTTGGCACATGGCTCCAGTCAGTTCCTGTGAGATTTCCATGTTTTTGTTCACTCCTTGTATGAAAATTAAAGGCTGCGCCGAATCAGAAATGTTTGTGCTCTCATCACATGCCAGTGAAAAAACAGTAAATCCAATTGTCTTAGCTTTAATTTGCTCCTTGACTTCATTAAGGCGGGTCACGGTGTTACGGGAGAGGCTGATTTGAGAGAAGACTCTTGCCTGTGATGGGCACATAAGTGAATCCGCTGTGGACAGACACACTTTGACAAACTTGTGTGAAAAAGGTCTTTTTCCTACCTGGCCCTGGTCGCACTGTCCTGGACAGCTGAGTGCCTGACTAGAGTGCTTTGCTGTGAACAAAGTTTAGCTAATAACTGGCTTTTTGCCTCACCTTGATACTTTGAAAACACTGCATTATGTTTTGTCTCGTAGTGGCGACAAATATTGTTCTCCTTTTGGACAGCCACAGGTTTAATACAGCTGAGACAGACTACCTTGGAAAGAATGTCTATGTGTGTCCATGCAGATTTAAGTCATCATAAACTTAATGTGTGTTCACAAACAGAAACACAAGTGAAAATGCAATTGAGGAAGGTACCCTTTCAACGGGCCAAACCGAAACAGTCCGGCAGCCCCACTATTGGCAGCCCTGCTCAAGTCTCTCTGTTTTTTTTTAGATAGATAGATACTGTATTGATCCCCCTCTTGATGGTCTCTCTCTCTGGTCCCTCTCTAATTGCACCTGTATATCTCCCCCTCTTTCAGTTTTAAATCCAGGTGCCCCAGATTAAATAGAACAGGCTGTGAAGCAGGAGTGTAAGCGTCCCTCTGCAGCTGTCACACCTGTCATTACAGATCTGTCCACCAGGGGCAGCAGACCAGGCTGTAACCACACTACAGCTGCTAACGAGACTCTGCTAAACACTCCGCTAAAGAGAGTGAGAGAGACATGAAAGCTGCTTTTGTGTCGGTGTGAAGACCCGTCTGCCCCCCTCCTCAGTCTCTAATGGACAGAGTGTGTTTGAGGATGAGACTGTAATGAACCTGGACCTGCTCACCTCTTTAAGACGATTAGAGCTTTGACGAGGGCTTTCATGTCCTGCTCTCTCAGGGCGATGGGTGAAATTTGTGCGACGAGTTTGTGCCGACAAGAAGAGGCCGCAGGAGATGAGCATGGACTGTGTGTGTTCACCACATTGTGTGTTAGTTGTGTTACTGATGTATTAGGTGTAAACATGTGTGAGAATATGTTATTGTGGATCATAGTGTGAAACGTGTGTAGTCTATGTCAGTGTTTTCATATGATGTGGATGAGAGGATGTGCTAACTTTATGTATTTGTGTGTGTGCCAGTAG